CTTTCTCATTGGAACGCTGTAATCATTTTTGAACTTCTTATAAATTCGAAATTTTTTTACTTATTATTTTTAGCATCTTTAAGGTACCTCTAGCCAAAAAATAATACATAATAAACATTAAGTTGTTTTCCGTTTTGGATTGTTGTATTCTTGTATCATCAGTAGGGCTAAACAGGAAATTACTAATCCGACTAACGTCTGTTCGAAACGCGTCCAACTTGAATTACATAAACAGATTTCGGTTTTTATATGTGAAAACAAAAGTTCGGGTAGATAATACAATTGTATGTAAAAAAGACACATAGCTATGTAGGTGTTATGTAAATCGAATAATTATACAAGAAACCCCACTGGTGAGTTGCCTATTAATAACAGGCAGTATATTATACATTCGAGCAGAAGTAGCTATTGGCCGTTAATATATTTCTTCGTTTCTACTGAATCGGATAATATATTTTATGGAACTAGCCATGAGCTTGGACCATTAATTTTATCTTTCCAGAGAGGTTAAGCCCGGTTTACGAAATTCAAAAAACTAATAATACGATAATATTTTTTAAGTTTCATCCACCGTCAATAAGAATTTTCAGTGAGAGTTAACTTAAATCTTCGACGACTTTGACAAAAATCTATTTTCCTCAGGCTTAACCTAAAAAATTTAATGATCTAAATAATAAGCCGCAGTTTTCAACAAAGATGGTAATTAAAATAAAAACTAGATGGGAGAAGGATCTGTTTTCTTCTCTACCAAGCGGAGAAATGTTTCAGAAGGAACTTGCTACATATCTGTATGTCCGGGAGATGATGCTAAACTCCATTCATCCAGAGCGAAGCTATGTATAGGTTCATGGAAGGACATCACATATAATCTTCGTGTCGCCAAATAACAAGAACAAGTGTAACTTCAATGGGATGTTTTATTGAGCATGTCCGTTTAAGTCCAGACAACAAAGACTAGGAGAAAGTCCTATTAGCACGCTCTATTTGATGGACGTTTAATCACCCAACAGAAGTCTGCATTTATGAGAGAAGATTGGGACTAAAACCAATTTCCCCTGGAAAGTTGATCTTTGCTTTAAGAATATGATTGGTAATAGAAGGTATGACTTAATGAAATATATAGTGAACTGAATGACAAAATAGATCACTCATTGCACGTTTGCAATCAAGAATAGAAAGGCTTTTATAGAAGACTCTTGGTTTTTATGTTACTAGACTGGGTTTTATTGCACATCTTTTAACAAGGTGCTTAACAACTTAAATGGCATAAGAAAATTTCAGTGGCTGGCAGAGGTCCTATATATATTTTCCTATAGCCATTTTCCTTGACAATCTTTTTTGCCTTTTGATGGGAATACAAAGTATAGGTTCAGCCAAGGAGGGAACCCAAGTATACTGTATGGCCTAATTATTTTTCTATTAAGAGCAAATGAAAGCTCAATCCAAAAAATATAACTCAGGAGTTAATAAAAATCATGAATTGTGATATTTCCTCGTGTTGTCTGCGGAGTAATTATCCTCTCTTTTACTCGCTTTAGGGCATTTTGGTCTGTTGACACAGCGTTCAAGATGGCGGAAGCCGATACACGTCTGACAGACCTAAGTAAAGAACCAACTACAAAAATCATGAAGGTAGATAGTGATCTATCATCACCCATATAAGAAGGAGCACATCATTCCTAGATGATGGACGCAGTGCACAAGGCTCCTTAGCTACAAAAAATAAAATCTATATCTTAGAAATTAATAAGATTTCATAATATTCTCACAGAAATACTTTGTATTACCATCAAAAGACAAAAAAGTTGTCAAGAAAAATAGCCCAATCTGTAACATTTTAAATCATCGAAATAGTTTAAAATTATATGTTTATATTTTTTGTTTAATGTGATATTGTTTTTTGGTAGTTTCTATATATAATATTTGAAAAGTAATAAATGTAAGAAACTGTCGGGATGGTATTGAGCGGGGATGAATTGTGTTGCCTGTGGGCAGCTCTTGCCCTTGTTGTTTTTCAATAACAAGGCCTGAGGACAACCATTCGACGGTTATTTGTTGTCGGGTCCGCCGAGGCAGTCGGTTGTTACCTCGACTAATCTCTGTTCCAAGCCCGAGGACTTTGCCCCCGAGCATTTGCGTTACATTACGTTTTGACAACTTCTCCGACCCGAAGGTTATATTTATGGGAAGGGCCTTCGGGCTGTAAAATATATATATTTTAAGGCAGAGCAAGGCGAAACATATTTTGTAAATGCTTACTAACGACTAGAGAAAATTCGGGCCCGGGCAAGTGGGCTTAAAACCGACGAAGACTATGGGCGCAAAAGATCGGCATATGCGATCTACAAAGAAGGAGACTAAGTAAAAAACATTAATTTACAGAAAAAACAAAATAATAGAGACATGCAGAAATGTCATCCCAGATATATCGATACACCCTATATAAAAATTTAAAAACATTTAAATTCATTTGAAAGAGCCTCTACGAATTTAATGATGTTTTCGCAGACAAAAATTCTAATAAATTTTCTCTTAATTTAAAAATAGAGAATAAACTATAAATTTGAAATGTAAATTTTTCATTTGAGCACGAATTATAAATAAATGTCAATTCTGCCCCAAAAATAATGGTTTAATATACTCCCCTGAGAGGACGTTTTGTTATGTGCATATAAGCTTATTCATGTTTCACACGTTTCAGCATGTTATTTTATTAGCTCTATTAGCATTTGTTCTACTTCTGTGGATTGTCCTCTCCTGAATTTTGTTTGTCAGGACTAGACGTTTCAGAGATCACCAAGTTGAGCAGAAAGATTTAAGAGAAAACCATACTTGACAGGGTGACATACTCAGCTATTCACGTTAGCGATCGTAATCCTATCATAAATGTATTTTTACAGTCGCACTTAATTCCTCCAGGCTGGCCAGGTTGCAAGGAGGATCTCTTGCAAGAAAACTAAACTCGTTCGACTTCCATTGGTCTTCCTAACTTTTGTCAGAATAACATCATAAAACCTATTAGGCTTCTTTTGTGCTCAGATGGTGAATTTATGGATATTTATGGGCTGAATACACAATTTTATTGTGACCATAATTTCACTACGATTCAGGGGTGCGAATGGGTTTCATTACATTAAGTTAGATTGGGTAGGATTAGGTTAGGATTATTTTTAGGGACGGGTTATATTAGATTATAGGGTTAAAATTAGTATTATAATTTATGTTATGGTGTTGTTTGATCCAGCCGTACCTACGGATCTTGTTCTAAAAACCTTCCCTGGACTTCGCCTCAAGTAAAAAGGTTACTGTTAGGTAGGATTGGGTTAGGGTACATATCTATGTGATGATGTTTGTGTTACTGTTAAATAGTTAGGTTAAGTAGGCTTAGGTTACGTTAGCTTAGGTTGGGCTTGGATTAGGAATGTGTTCTATTAGATTAGGAAGGGTTAGAATTAGTATTTTAATTTGGGTTAGCGTAGTTTTTTGCCCATTCACCTTCCAGCCATGCCTATGGGCCCACGGCCATTAAGTATTTCTTTCAATCGCCAGGAAAGAACATTGTTGTTCTAATAGCCATTGCTGGACCTAGACCTGGGTTAGGATGGTCAGGTGTGTTAAGTTAGATAGGATTAGGGTTAGGTTACATATCCATAATTCAATATTTTTCCGTGAAGCGGAGAAATTATGCGAGTGCAAATCGGTCCGTATGTATTCTTTTAAATCATACCCAACTCCTTAATATTGGAACCCTTTTTATAAAATTATGTTAAGAAATGCATGGGGGATGCTTACAAAGCAATACACGCTTTGGTCTTTATTCCCAAATCTTAAGACAAAACGTTGGCCTAACATAACAATTGCCCGATGGACCAGGTTTCATAAAGTTATATCAATATTTTTAGCAAGATATTTCAATTAAAGTATTTTAGAAAGTACCCTCAATAAAACCTAAAATCGATTAACCTCCTTGGGAAGGTCCTTTGTAATCATTGTCATAAAAATAATATATAAAATATATTTTGCATTGTATAAATTCACTTTTCCGCATCCTAAATGTAATTGTTAAATGTAAACATTGTTTGTAAATCCCAGGCCCTGAAGATGATCTCAATAAAAGATCGAAACGTTGGCACGATAAAGAAAATGTTTTTCTGAAACCTACATCACACCCGACCGCATCTCACGATATCTGAATAACTATCGATTAACGGTCACTAATCTCTACACATTGTCACAAAAGTTTACCTTTGCATGATAATTGCAGTAGTTAGCATATGGGTCGTTTTATCAAATTTATAATTAACCTTTACCTAGATATAATTTTAAATTAATTAAATTTAATTGCCATGAATGTACTTCTATTATATTGGAAGGGTCTTTTGCAAACTTTAAAATTTTGTAAAGCCGTCGAGGCCTAATTGTTTACAAACAAACATTAGCAAGTAATAAGAAAAAGAACCCATCAAAATTAAAATGTGGAAAAATACTTTCTACTGGTCGTTTTTATATATTTTCCCAGTTTTCATCGTTAAATGTTTTTCCATCTTCTACGTGTTATTGTTCTGTTGACAAAATGTGAGCGGATATTCTATTTTCTATTTCTGATTTCTAGGGCTTATGGAAAAAATATATAAATAATTACGTTCTTGATATTCACGTAAAAACATTATTTCTGGATACTTGTCCGACATACCACCAGACATTTTAATAAATCAGTTAATAAAGGCGTTATGTATCAAATAAATAACAAGATAAAAATTTGAATCAGTTCTCCTACTCAGTTGCTTTCACTATTCTTTTTCAATCGGGAAAAAGGAAAATTTCGGGGAATTTCGCTGAAATTTACCTAACTAGCATCTATTATTCATATCCCATATGTTCACAGCCAGAAAACGTCTTTGATGAAACCTTCATTTGCAAATTAGTCTTTGTACCTTTGATACTTTTTAAATGCATATTATACCAACTTGTTTTTAACACTGAAATTTGTTTTGTTTTAGATATCCTGAATCGAGACTAGCGAAACTTTTCAACGGCAGTATCCCCATTGTACTTGATTCCCTCAAGCAGCACTACTTTATCGACAGGGATGGAGGGATGTTCAGGCACATCCTGAACTTCATGAGGAACTCGAGACTTCTCATCCCCGACACCTTCACCGACTTAGACTTGCTACTCGAAGAGGCCAAATATTTCGAAATCCAACGTGAGTCATTTCACCTGAGTAATCATTAAATTTTTAAAAACATATGTTTCAATTTACGGTTTTTGTGGATAAAGGTGAAAAATATTTCATAATTAGCCTAGAAAGTTTGCCTAAAATCAATAGGTTTTTTCAATATAGCATATGTATATAGTTTTATTTTAAGAAGGAATATCTGATGAACTTTTGAAAACGTGCTGTATGGTAAACGGTTTTATTATGGTTATAACATCCGAGGGACCATTGCCATTTGAATTTCACGGAACATTTCAAAAACTTCAGCCAGAACTATTCATATTGCACGTCAGATATATTAAATAAACATAAATAGACTTAAAACGTTGAAACACAGTTAACAATTTCATTACAGTGCAATGATTGTTTGACGATCATAACCTGACGATCTCAATGTTTTTTTCTTTATTTTAGCTACACTTCAAAGCGTTTCATAGCGCGGACCGAATCTCTTTCACCACCCCATCCCCTTTACTCTGACTTGCGATATGTATAATGAGCATAAAACACCAAAATAAGTACACAATGGTCATGTCGTTTTATAAGAATCAGTGATATTATTTATTTATTTTGTTGTAATTGAAAAACTAATCCTTTCATTTCAGTCCCACGATTGTTGGGCAATCATGGCATTTGACCGTACAGTTTTTTCTTTATCTAAGCTATATTTCATTGCATTGTGTTGGGGTAGGAACAAGCTTTCACAACACGGACCGCATCCCTTTCACCAACCCCAGCCTCTTTACTCTGATTTGAGATTTCTATAATGAGCATATAACATTTAAATAAATACACAATGGTCATGTTGTTTTATAAACATCAGGGGCATTATTTGTTGCTATATTTTTTTTGTTATAACTGAAAAATTAACCGTTTCATTAATTTCAATGATGATTGTTCGGCGATCATGGCATATGGTGATGCAGTTGATCTAAATCACATTCCATAGAGTTGAGTTGGAGATAGGAACAACTTTCACAATACTGACCGCATCCCGTTCACCAACCCCATCCCCCAAGTATGGTGGTTAAAATAAATTTTTATTTATTTTAAAACCTTTTTATTGTATTTAAAATCATCGAGCGTGCCCATGTTTTCATTCATTATTTGCTTTTATGTATAGGAAGGATATATTTGTTCAATTATGCGTAAATATAAACTTTTCGTCCGACATAAATATACACAACTTTTAAAAGAACATTGTTTAATGTATCTAAATGGATTGCATTAATAACCGAATAAATATTTCTAAATAAAGTCTTGTTTGTTAAAATCAAACGTTGCAGCTCGGTTGATGTAAACTTTACGAGAGTAGCTTTACTGAGATAACATTTTCTATTTGAAAAATTTGACATATAGCACGTGACCGTATAAGAGGATTGTTGAAATCTCTCTCTTGAGGGGTGTAGGCACATTTTATTTTTCGAACTAGCGATCCCGCCAAAGCAGGACGTGATTGTTATATTTTCTTTTGGCGTATTCTGGCTCGGGGCGATGTACGAAACTTGGCCGCTCTTTGTTTTTTATTCCCAAGGCGATTGTTTCGTACCTCGTCTCAGTTTCTTACGATCGAGAACGGTACAAAGCCGGAACTCCTCGTCGAAATACTCAAGTGAGTAATTATCAATCTGATTCATCACCGGTCAAATAGGTAGTAGTTTTAAGACAATAAAAAAAACTGGACAACAATAATCAAAAGATTCATTTTTCTTATTCGGTCCGCCTCCGGCTAAGGTCATTTTTACCACCACTCGCATGTATAATTGTTATCAAAGATAAATAAATCATGGAGTCGATTTTCATATTAACGACTACTGGTAATTGGTCGCACGGACCTAGTCCTTAAAAAGAACGAAGTAAAAAGACGATTTACGCTTCGGGGCGAATGCCTGTGTCCACTGACAGTAATAAATATAAACCTCGTTATTTAAATTATAACTTCTCTGGAACGGGAATGAATGCAAAGAACGGCCAAATGACATTTCTATGCGAATAAATTGATATAACCTTCTATTTGGACAAATTAACAACTTCGTTTTAAGCGTGAATGACATATATGATGCTATACATATTATTTCAACATACCGTGTAAAACTACATTTTTTAATTATTAACTTACACTATTGATGTCATTTTAACCTGTATTTTTCTTTAAAACATGCTGGTGCAATAGGAAAATAAACCTCCACTTAGTTTTCAAAAAATTTTAAGTGGCTAAAATTTTAATCTCCTTAAGGACCTCTTATATTAAGGCCGTTAATTTCCATTTAAGAGTTAGATGAAAGGATAAATACAATATGATATAAAGATCTCTTTATTTACGTCTGTTAAAATTATTACATTAATATATTGGGTTGTCCGGAAAATAATGCAGGATTTTGGTATTAAACAAAAAAAAAGAAACTAGTTACTTTAAAGCAATGTTCTTTAATCAAAATAATTNATGAGTAATCCTGTAAACGTAAACAGAATATTTTATATAGATTTTTTTTAATGAAAACTTAAAATCCTGCATTATTTTCCGGACAACCCGATATTACTGTGGGTACAGTAGGCTGCTTGTCAGATAGTTGCTGTGTGGATAAAGATATCTGTAGCATTTGGCACTTAATGGTAGTGACCTACACTGATGTCTTGAACAGACGTATTTCTTAGACGCGTAGGTGTCCACAGCTTGTCATTGTATCGGCGGTTTGATTTTCATCTTACAGATGTATGCAGAATTATGTATCCATTTCCATTAAAACTTCTTCTTATGCCTCGACGTACGGCCTCGAGGAACAGTTCCTCCGTTCAGTAAGTGCAGCAACTCTTCTCTGGGGCTGAAGCTGTCCTCGCTGGTTTACTGTCCCTTGAGTGTACTAATAGGCACTTCTTTATTTTAATCTGCTTAAGATGATTCCAAAATAATTTCGACTTTACAAATGAACAGATTGTGATCCGATTGGGGTTGATTTGTACGTCCTCGTCGTATGACGCTCATTGCTTTAAGCAATATACCTGTGGAAACAATAGGAATTTTTAAATGAATCACAACAAAATCTTCTATTATACATGCTTACGTTCTAAAGAGGATCTGAGCTTAAAACCGTTTACAAATTTTAAAGTTTGTTAATACGAGTCTTCTACTACACAAAAAGGTAAAGAATTATATTAATAAAGTGTACATTTACAAACAGGTAAACCCTTATAAGATGGAAATGCATGGTTCAGACAATGGCAATTTGAGGATAATCATAAAACATGCCATTTTTCTGTTCTATTGTAACATTTATTACCGTATTCTATTTTCCAATTTTCCAGATCTAAAAAAAAATTAACTTTACAAAGAAGCAAATTTTGCAACCTGGAGTTCTGAGGAGTTAATCTAATAAGCAAGTTGAATTGTTCAACGCGAGCATCAAATAAAACAGAAGATTTAAAAAAATTAATTTGGCTTTAATTTTAACTTAAAATATTTTAAAGTTTTTGGACAATAACATTTGGTTGCAACAGTTTGTCATTGTGTAAGCTGTTTTTGTTAACGATATATACCCATATGCAACGGCGGTATGCTATGCTGGTTTAGGCTATTAGTAAAAAGTAGCAGGTAAAATAATGGACATGTTCTTAACCAAATCCTCGAGACCATCTTCATAAAACCTTTTTTTATTATGCTGACCATAACTTATAATATAATGCTAGCTCTGCATCTGAAAACGGCAAACCTATTGGACAAGTTTTTGTACTTTATTGGTAGGGATAGATGCCAGCCACAGTTTCTGGCATCTCCGGGGAACCGTTCTCGATTCCTTTATCAAGGAAGGACGGAGCGGGAAAGAAAGTTACTGTTTATCTTTCACTTATCTCCTACACACATGGGACAATTCAAGTTTGTTTTTAAATAAAACCCTAAGATTCGCCATTTCGGATCTCCAGGTTGTAAAGGTTGTTGGTTCTTTATAAAGAGATAAAGTGAGTGAAATATTAGTTAGAATTGCTTACGACTTTTTCATTTCCGTCCGTTCGTCTCTACGTGGGCAGGGAGCAGCTTTCATTCTTACATTGGACGGTAGGGCTCCGCATAGAAACCCTTGCTCCCTGCCCACCCCGCTCCTTTAGTTTTTCGGTGTGCTATATAATTTAAAAATGAAAATAATATATTATTGCAATTATAAGAAGTTGCTAAGAAGTTATATAATTGGAATATTGAAAGTTAAAATTTAGTTACAGTACCTGTTTCTGAGATTCGTATCACTAATCTCAGAACTGTGCTCCTCCGTTTCATCAATATTTGCGGATCTGTATGTCGGAAAAGTTATACAATAAGAATACTAAAAGTTAAAATTTGGTAACAGTACCTCAGTCGATTGTCAGTGTTCGGCATATCAGTGCTTTCTTCCTTCCTTTCAGGGCTTTCAATTTCGGTGCTTAAACTGTAAGAGGGAAAAGTTATACAATAAGAATATTAAAAGTTAAAATTTAGTAACAGTACCTCAGTCGATTGTCAGTGTTCGGCATATCAGTGCTTTCTTCCTTCCTTTCAGGGCTTTCAATTTCGGTGCTTAAACTGTAAGAGGTAAAAGTTATACAATAAGAATATTAAAAGTTAAAATTTACTTAAAGTACCTAGCTGCTTGGTCGTTGTTTTCTTCTTGGGCTGTAGAGGACCGCTGTTGCTCTAGTATTGCGGTTAATATTGGGCTCCGTTCAGCTCTACTTGGCCTATAACGATCGACTTCAGGACGTGGGTAAATACCTTCTAGAATGTTGGGAGAATCTTCTATGTTTGCCGTTCGATGATACGTAACTCTTTTGGAAGTTCCTGCACGTTGTGCATCTTCTTCTTCATCGGTCGATGCATCGGCTAAGAAAGTATCTTCCCTTTCTTGGCGTGAATTGGCGAAACGTCTTGTATCGCGACGTCGCTCTAAGTTTTGTCTAAGGTAAAATTCGGGCAAGTCTGAAGAGAGTCTTTTAATTTCTTGGAATGCTTTGTATGCAGAAAAAGCGCACACCGTTGCTGCCGCCACACCAAAGCCCCACCTCACCACGCGGGGCCACATCTTTGGCTTCTTTCTTATCTAGGCTTAGGCTTATTTCTACCTAACTAGTTATCTATTAACTAATATAACAATAAAAATGATACAAATATAAAAAAGAACTATATGTAGAATTTTGTTCAGACTAAGGAAATATTTCAATAAATGTACATACTTAAAATCTCTGCCAGGAATAGACGGAGTAGACAAAATAAGACAAAATAGTTTTACCGTGAATTACAAACGTTTTCACTTGCAGTTAAAACGGAATTGTCTCTATGGAAACGTGTATCCAAAATTTCTTATTATTTGATTACATATTAATTTATTTTTATTTATTTATTTGTATTTAGTGTTTTCCATCCCTTTTCTTTCACCGTACAATATTAAGTTTTCTATTTTGCATTTTCCTTTTTTAGACGCTTTTATTAGAGGTTTTTCAGATTAGCACATCATTTGGTTTACGTCGTTGATTCCCTTCCCTCGACTATCTCATTTAAAGATTTAAACTAAAATTCACAAACCACAACGCATTTGCATCCACACGTTCTTCTACTAGTCTTAGTTTTATCCTTCCTTAGATATCTTGGAGCCAAAGAAGAAATTATAGGGTTTGTTGTACGGTTACGAGCAGTTGTGTTGAAGTGGTTTTTATAAGTTTCTGAATTGTCCGTCCAAATGCATTATTTATAATTCGCAGAGCTTTATTTTATAGCGTCAGTTCGATTTTACTTTTGGCGCCCCTTCACAAATAGGACAAGCGTACATAACATACAGAAGACGAATCAACACATAATTCGATACTTTATTGCCCTGGATTTTTGTCACTAATTATCTATATAAAATGGGAGGATAGTAGTATTATACTATAAGATTTATATTTATAATAAATCTTAAAAATTCCTTAACCTTTTTCATAAGACACTGGAATTTTGATATCAATTTTCTATATAAAATGGGAGGATATTTATATTCTATTGTGACTATAAAATTTATATTTATACGAAATCTTAAAAATCGCTTTTTTTATCGCTTAAAAATATCAGCTTTTTTAGTAAACAAACAAACCACAATCCAGTGAAGTCTAATATGAAAGTCTGTTGGGCTTAATAATCAAGCATTTTACGGAATGTTAAATAGCAGGTGATGGCCGTAGCGTGGGAGGCTAAGCTGTTATTTCGCTACTCGTCTTGCAGGTCGGAGAGTGAAAAAGATGGAGACCCCCCCAAATTAAATAATTAATCGCCTCGAGATTCATGTTAATCCGCCTTGTGATGGGGGCTACTGTTTAATCGCCGTTTTTTGACGGACCGGTATTGAGTGGGCAGTATGTAATTTGTCCACTCCGTCAACTGGCCAAAAGAGTTTTCGAACGGATCTTTACGCGAATATCAGACCGTAAGAATTACAGAAACTCAATATAACAAAGCAAATAAAATTGAAATGTTTTCTTTTCGAAATTAATAAAAACAAAGACCAGTGACAGCCTCGATGATTATTCACAAAAACAACATACATATAGCTTTAAAATAAAGAAATTCCCTTAGTTTTCTGGACCAATTAACTTCCTGTTGAGAGTCGGGTCAGAACCACTTGACATTACTTTTTCCACATTAATCTCAATAAAATTCCAAGGGTTATGACAAAGTCGGACCCAGAATTAGAGTGGCAAATAGGAATAGTCGGACGCCAATAATAAATAAAGTAACTGTAAAACAATTACTGTAATACAGGAAGACTTAACGTCCAATTACCAATTCTCTCTATATTATTACATTAAAAATTCATGGTCTATGCCGGGTTTCGAACCCAGGACCGTTAACGTGGCAAATATAATTCTGTCCCCTAACTACTCGGCCACCACAGTTCCCTCCAGTAAATATAATAATAAATTAAATTTTACTTTTAACCAATTTTTTATTTTTGTATTATTTGCCAATCAACTTTTCAAGTTCCCTCATCAAACGAGGGAGATTTTGCAATCTTAAAGGATTGTAAAAAAATACTCAAAAATAAGCATAAATTATAATGACCTGGGTAAAATTTATTAATATTGTATACAAATTTGAATAAAATAGTAAAATCGTTTTAGAATTATGAAAATGCAAGAAAAAATACAAAATAAGCCTTTTTAACCCACTTTTGAGTTACCTGTTTTTATTCAATAGTTCATTTATTAATAATTAATATCCTATTACAATCAATTTCCAAAAATGACCGAAAAGACTGTGTAAATCGGACCAGCGCTGTTTCTAACCTGAGGATTGCTCAAGGTATTTAACGGGTCAATGAGGCTTATCTGGAGAATCTTACGTGGCTTTTGGCTGTTCTATCTCATTCCAGTTCCAGGTATAAAAAAGCTATAGACCAAATTACCCGAGTTAAATAAAAGTAGTTTCCTGTAGATGTAAATACTTACAAGCTCACTCGGATTTCGGCGAAAGATAGACCATCCAGTTATGCGGCTGTATTTTCAAAATTGCCTTCCGGTCTGAGCTGATTTTGAATTCGATTTGCATTTTGTCGCACTAACATAATTGAATTTTCAACAATAGTCTTAGGATATAATATCGTAAATAGAATGTATTGCTATCGTGGAATAGAGTCGGCCCGTTAGTTAGGCAAGTAGGTTAGAATGAAATGTTTTCAACGCCCCGAGGGTGAAGCCACTGAGCTACGCATTCTCCTCATCAGGCTAACGCCGCCCAAGACAAACCTCAAATTAAGTAATTTACTCGGCTCTTTGGGGCCGGTTAATTGCCTTTTGAAATTCACCAATTCTAAAAATTTAATTACAGCGTGGAGTTTTGATTGATGCGGCTCCACCGGGAGTCCTGTCTTACATATGTGCTTTCTTCCGGTCCGACGTCTAAATTATTATTGGGATTGAATATGATATGAGTTTGAAGTCATGTCCCTCAAAAGTGGGACTTATTCTAAGCTTACAATACTTACAAAATGTTAATAGGAAAAATTATATATTTTGTGCTCGTTGGAAATGAAAAAATAATTAATTTTCACAAACTGAGGGTTATATTGTATTTGATATATTGGCACTTAAATTAATCAAATTGTAAAATCAGAAGAAGTTAGTTTAAAGCTATCTTATTACTTTAAATACTTAATAGATGTGTGTATAATATACTCCGCTATTTGAGAGGTATTATATCACCCGTTTTGTAGCCATAGGACACCGGTGAGTCCTAGTTCGAGAAATTGGATTAGTAGGCCTGGTTTCAGTGATTAAATTTATTCTACTGTTGTAGCAATTCCTCCTTTGGGCTTCTGTATCTCCACGGTTTGTTAGTAGATGGTTGTTGCCTCTTCTGCTTGCTAGCAGAATTTACATGTGCTGTGTTGTTTTATACCAATCTTTTTCCAATGTCCATTCACTCCTCAGTGTCCTGTTAAGAATCTTGTTAGGATTGGAAGTTTTTCCCTCTATCCTTTAATGCATTCTGTTGCTTCTATCCTTCCAAAACTTGCTAAAAGGTTCTTAATTTGTTTTTCAGTGAGTGAATTCCACTGTTTTCTCATTTTCATTTGGTCTTTTTTTCGGAGGTGCTTATTTATAGTGTACATTCCTCTATCTCAGAAGGGCTCAGGATCTATAAAAAGTATAGCAACCCATCCCCACCAAGCAAAAGGTCCGCTCCCTCGTTTCCTTCTTCTCCTATCCTGGGACCCGACCCAGCAGTGACTTCATTTCGCATACCTAATTTATTTAATTGAGCTTTATTTAATTGGAGCTTAGTGCACGGCTACCATCATCTGACATGTTTGTTATTGTTGTTTATTTTTGTGCCTTTTTTTATGGGTTTTGGAAGTTGATGCAGAATACAATTCTTTCCTCCACTACGACATAAACAGGACTATTGCGAAACCACTATAGCTTGTATCCATACTTTATAAAACCGAGCACTTTCCTCGGTGCCTCTTCCTGGATTTTCATGGGTATGGGAAATGCCCTACCGAATTGGCTGTACCGTAAACGGGCCTACGCTTTTCATTCGCAAAGTATACGTGCCGATATCTCTGGTTCTCCTGAGAGAGCTGGCATGTTTCCATCTAAGCTTTGCCCATTCTTAAGGGGATAGTTAAGAGGGCAGTGGCCTATAAATCTCCTCAAATCCTGCTTGCTGAGAGAGAGAGAGAGAGAGAGAGAGAGAGAGGGAGAGAGAGAGAGTGAGCGAGCGAGAGAGGACTTCTTTCTCCGTTTTGAGATGTTTGTAAATGTCTTAGCTGGCCTCATACCTGGAGCGTTTGTCCACAATTGGAGTTTTTCTTTATAAATCCATTTTTCCAGTTCCAACTTAATTACACACTCCGTAGTACTTAATTTTGGGTGGGAGGGTCGACGTATTTTTGGCTATTTAGTCAGCCTTTTCATTTCTTCTATTTTCAGTATTAAGAATATCGACAGTTGGAATCAAGGTATGGTCTTGAAGTAGAAAGCAAATTCAGTTGTTACTGCCAAGCTTTCTGCCTATTTTAAGATAATGTTCTCTTGGTTGTTATCAGGGATGTGGTCAAAGAAAATATTTTTAATTTTAAGTCTTCGCCTAGCTTTCGGAACTTTATTGTACCTTCTTCAGTGCTCTACAAAAAGATATATTATACATTTTAATTTTGGCCAATTTAACATCAAATATATGTACGAACAAGACACACGTTTTTGTACTTACTGATTTTTAGTCAGAAATATATAAACTTAAATTCTTTTATTTTCATGTATAACACTGAGAACCTTTTCATTTTTTCTTCTATTAACTATTAAAGGTACAGACTAGTTTTATATAATAATAATAAATATAAGAATATATAGGGCAGCAAAAATAAAAACAACATAAGATAGAAGGTTTGGATGTTAGGGCGTGAAATGACCTTAGCCGTTAAAACGCCCTTAAAAATTAATAATAATAATAACAATGACTAGTGTGACGTTTTTCTCAAGAACGGTTTATATGTGCATAAGTTGGTCGGTATATCAACAAAACAAAACCTATATTAAGATCATCATCAGGTTACAGTCCTCGGTTATGTTGGGACTTATATGTCACATCGTATACATATTTAACATTGTTTTGCCCTGGTAATGACTTTAAAATAAGTCAAAAGCTTGGCAGTAATAACTGCCTGAATTTGCTTTCTTCTTCAAGACCATAACTTGATACAGCGTTCATGTCCGGGAACCCACTTTAAGGTTATCTTATTTTGCGTTCCCAGGCTTTTATGGCTGCCTTGGCTGTCTGAGAGTATCTATATCTGGATATTTTTCATAGTTTTCTTTATTAAATCATGTGCACAATTGTATTGCATGGATGTCAGATTGGAAAATCTTTGGGGCTAGTCCAAGGGGCTTCGCTCGGGCGTAGTTCGACCCTTTTACTTTTGTACCCTTTGTTCTGGGGAACTAAGTTCAACTCTCAATTTGCATGGACTTCAGCATAGTAAATTCTTGGCGTACTTTCCCTAGAACTCAGTATTTGGCTCTAGGACCTGCGCCGTACCTTCTTGCGTTCTAGATCCAACAGGACATGAGCAGGTGGTGCCTATCTCAGACATCTATATCTACATCTACATGATAGATACCGAACGTTTCTCCCACCAAAAGAAATAAAGAAAGAAAATTCGTTTATTATGCTCTGGGAGAAATTCTCCCTTAAAAACAGCGACAAAGTTGTAACAACATTTGTTATAATTAGATTTTTCATTCTATTTTTTTTTTCAAGTTAATGAAATTTAAGTACTAATAATAAAC